CACCTCTCAAAGCACACCTTGCACTCGAGCAGACTGATCTCGGCCTCGCGCAGGAGCTCCCGCAGCGCCGGCCCGCTCCCCGAGGCCTCGGCACCCATTGCGCAGCCTTGGTGCTCCCGCCTCGCCAGCCCCGCCGCCCCGGCGCCGCCCGGGTTCACGGTCAAGGGGCGAGGCGCTGCTTCTGACGTCTATCGCGGCGCCGCGGGGCCAAGACCTGCTGCCCCCTGGTGGGCGCGTGCGGCACTGCTTCTTGAAAGCCTGTATTCACAGCGCATGGTCAGATATGTCATCTTAACAAAATCATGGATGAGTTATCTCCACACATCACATGAGAAAACACACCTATTGAGAACAAGAGGGCTCCTCCCTACCACCCAGTCTGTAAGAGGCAAAGCAAGAACTAGAACAACCTCGTCTTCCAACCCTGGTGCCCCGCAGTTTCCAATTCGTGGTGCTGGGTGCTAGGTGCTAGGTGCTAGGTGCTAGGTGCTAGGTGCTAGGTGCTAGGGCTGGCGGGAGAACACGGTCTCATAGTTCACGATGCTTCTGATCAGACTGGGAAACACGGACACACGAGGAAAGTTAAATTCGAGGGGTGAGGCAGGTGTGTGTCTTTATCGCACTCGTAGTTAAAGTAGATACGTAATGAATACGTGTAAAATAATTCATGTACTAGCAAAAGAATGTTATAGGGCAATACAAGAAACCCACTAGGTGAATGAGTGTCAGATGGGGGAACAATGGCTGGAAATGTCTTCCAGAGGAATTAATGGAAGTAAATAAGCTGTTAATCATCATTGCTATAGAACGTATGCCATGCCTGCTTTCTATTATGTGGTTTACATAGATTATCTCATTTGACCTGTAAGAGCATGTTATTTTATTTTTCCCTTTTTTTAAAAAAATACTTTTATTAATTTCAGAGAGGAAAGAAGAGTGAAAGAGAGATAGAAACATCAATGATGAGAGAGAATCATTGATTGGCTGCCTCCTGCACACCCCCCACTGGGGATCGAACCCCCAACCTGGGCATGTGCCCTTGACCAGAATCGAACTTAGGACCCTTTAATCGCAGGTCGATGCTCTATCCACTGAGCCAAACTGGCTAGGGCAGAACATGTTTTTTCATCATCCCTTTTTTACAAAAGAGTTCATACAGGTTAAGCATCTTGTTCAGGGTCACATGGCTAGGAAGTAGTTGTGCTGGGATTTGAGGCCAGGCAGTTTAATTGCAGAGCCCGCACTCTTAACTATCCTAGTGTTGTATTTTTTAATTTTTTAAAATGGATTTCAGAGAAAGGAAGGGAGAGGGAGAGAAAGATAGAACCATCAGTGATGAGAATCATGGATCAGCTGCCTCCTGCACAACTCATACTGGAAATTGATCCAGAAACACCAGGAATGTGCCCTGACTTGGAGTCCGACCGTGATCTGCTGATTCATGGGTCAACGCTCAACCACTGAGCCACACCCACCAGGCATATCCCAGTGTTTTTCCAACTTGGTTGTATATGGTAAATACCTGGATCTCATAACTAGGTTTACTTGGTTTGGATGTGGTCTGGGCAGCTGGAAGGTTTAAAGCTCCCCGTATGATTATGCTAGCAATGTGCAGCCAAGTTTGAAAACCACTAACAACTGCAATACAACAAGCCCTTCAAATGGCACCAGGTTAAATTCTTCCATCCTCAGTCAACATGGGAAGCACAGAGAATCTACCCTATGTTTAAAAATCTTCAAACAGGTGGTGGCATAATCTCAGGAAACTCTCATTTTCAGTTCTCCCTATCCCTCCCCCCTCCCAAAAAATAAATAAAAACACCTTACATAAACATTCTCTTTATAAACCACATATCAGCTTACTTATCTCCATTTAGAGATCATTATTATGATCATCTGCCCTCTTATTTGCTAGACTTCTGAGAAAACAGAGGACTTTTATCCTGTGTTAAAACCCCTGGAGGAGCTTTAATGTAAGACAAGAAAGAACATTTTCTATGTGTTACATAATTCAAAGATTATCTGTGTACTGGGAAATAATAACCAATTTAATAATTTCAGGCTATAATGCATTTCCATTCTAAATAAATAGCTGACTGAAGTCAAACCAAATAGGAATTACTTTCTGAAGTAATTTTTAAGTGAAGAAATACATTCAGGACACCAAAAATGTAATATTTTTAGAACTAATGTCTATTAGAAATATAATGAGAGCCACATATATAATATTAAATTTTCTAGTAGCCACATTTTATTTTTGTCATTTCTTTAATATACAACTTTATTTCTGGTTATAGAAACAAATGCTAAGAGGAGAAACAGTACTTCCCCATCCATATACAATCCTGTATAATAAAAGCCTAGATGACGTCACGTCCTTGTGTGACATACCTTCTAAACATTGTCACAAGATGACTGCCACAAGGTGGCCACGTGCACAGTGGAGGAGGGGCCAGGTGGGCGGTGAGGCCTAAGGGTCCCGTGGCTCAGTGCGGCCCGGAGGAGGCAGGTCCCGGAGGCGGCAGAGGAGGCGGGTTGTGGCAGGGGAGGGCAGTTGTGGGAGATCAGGCTGGCGGGGGAGCAGTTAGGCGTCAATCAGGCCAGCAGGGCAGCGGTTAGGGGGGCATCAGGCTGGCAGGCAGGTGAGTGGTTAGGAGCCAGTGAGCCCAGATTGTGAGAGGGATGTCCGACTGCCTAAACCGGCAGTCAGACATCCCATGAGGGGTCCCAGATTGAAGAGGGTGCAGGCCGGGTTGAGAAACACCCACCCCCCGCCCATACATGAATTTCATGCACCGGGCCTCTAGTCCATACTAATAAAAGCCTATGTTGTCATCACACCCTCATGCCATGATGCCCTCATGCTGCAACAAGCGATCACCAGGAGGCTGCGTGCGCAGCAGGCTCATGTGTGTGGTTGGGGCTGTGTAAGCTGCGAGGTACACGCGGGTGGGCGGGGACTTGATGCTGCATCCCAGAAGGGACTTGACCAGGAGATGCATCGTGGGAGCAGATGGTGGCTGCTGCTGCCCAGGACCAGCCCAAGGCTCAGGCAAGCCGCGGATGGTGCCTGCCGCTGTGAGGGCCCAAGGCTCAGGCGGTGAAGGCTGGGCCGAGGTTCAGGCAAGCTGCAGTGGCTGCGAGGGCCGAGGCTCAGGCAGCCTCACGGCGGGCAGTGGCAGTAGCAGAGGCGCGATGGGGGTATCACCTTCCCCTGATTGTCGGATCGCCTCCTGCAGAGGGAGGCCAGAGGCAGCAGCAGCTGGGGTGATGGGGGCAGTGCCTTTCCCTGATCGGCCCGTTGCCTCCCACAGAGAGAGGCCAGACTGCGGCTTAGGCCCACTCCCCACAAGCCATCAGTAGGACATCCCCTGAGGGCTCCCGAATTGTGAGAGGGGCCAGGCCGGGATGAGGGACTCCACTGGGCCTCTAGTTTAATAGATAAAAGAACAGTCACAATAAATGAAAAACAAAATGTAGAAATTTTAAACCTTGTCATAGCTTTAAAACATTAATGTCTGATTCAATTAGAAACCACATTCATTTCTCCAACCTTAAATAAAAAGTACGGCTCCTTATTTAAAAAGTCCTGTATCCCATTAGAAATGGAAAGGCCGGAGCAGCTACAGGGACCCCTCCCGATGGTGGCCTGGCCCCCGCCACCACGGTGGGCCTCTGCGAACCGCCCTGGGCTCCCCGGACCCAACTGCACTCACAGGCGGTGCCATTGCAACATGACCTCCACTTCACACCCCAGGCTTAGACCTTAATTTTCACTTTGGAGGATACCACTGCTTTTGAAGCACTGATTACACATTTTCATTTTTTAAAATTGATTTTATAGAGAGAGGAAGGGAAAGGGAGAGAGATAGAAACATCGATGAGAGAGAATCATCAATTGGCTGCCTCCTGCATGCCCCGCACCAGGGATGGAGCAGGCAACCTGGGCATGTGCCCTGACCCGGAATTGACCTGGCGAGCTCTTGGTGCACAGGATGGTGCTCAGTCAGCTGGGGCACTCCAGCTGGGACCCAGTATCCACATCTATATATATAAAAAAGCCCAGTGACTGGCATGGTGGAACGACCAGAATGACCAAAACGACTGGTGGCTATGATGCGCACTGCGGCAACCAACCAGCCTGATCCATGATCCAGGCCCCGATCGGCACCCCACCCGTATACGAATTCATGCACCTTTTTAAAAAATAAAAGGAGCAGGCTGGGAGAGGTCAGTGGGGGGAAAGGAGACATATGTAATATTTTCAACAATAAAGAATTAAAAGTAAATAAAAAATAAAAAGAGCATAGCTGGTGTGGCTCATTGGTTGAGGATTGACTTATGAACCATGATGTCACAGTTTTATTTCTGTCAGGGCACATGCCTGGGTTGCAGGCTTGATCTTCAGTGTGGGGGTGCAGCCAATCAATGATTCTCTCTCATCATTGATGTTTCTATCTCTCCCTCTTCTTCTCTGAAATCAATAAAAATATAAATATTAAAAAATTAAAAAGAAAAAGAAACTAGTGAAGTTAATTTAATTTCATATTTTATTTAACCTCAAATATGCAAAATATCATTTTGACATGAAATTGCTGTATAAGTTATTAATGAGACATTTTACTCTCTTTTTTTTTAGTACTGAGTAAAACTCAGGGTGTATTTTACACTCACGGCACACCCCAGTCCAGACTAGCCTCACATCAAGTGCTCAGGAACCACTGTGATTGGTGGCTGTGGCACAAACAGTGCAAATCTAGGCCAAGCCTGTGCTATGAAATGTTGCCTTCTCAAGATGCTTTCTGGATGGATTTCACTGACTTGCTTCTAACTTGTCTCTGCTCCACCATTGCTTTAAAATGTATCCAAAGCCCACCTGGTGTGATTCAGGGGTGGAGTGTCGACCTATAAACCAGAAGGTCACGGTTCAATTCCAGATCAGGGCACATGCCGGTGTTGCAGGCTCTATCCCCAGTCAGGGGCATGCCGGAGGCAGCAGATCAATGATTCTCTCACAATCATTGATGTTTCTCTCTCTCTCTCTCTCTCTCTCTCGCTCTCCCTTCCTCTCTGAAGTCAATTAAAATATATTAAAAAA